TATTTTAATAGTATGTGAAAGTAATGATATTATATTTTAATAATATGTAAAAATTATTATATTTTATGTTGATAATGTATAAAAATTATAAAAAGTTTTTAATTAATAAGCTGCATAAGCACTTTATTATTTTGATATAAATTATATATATCAASCCCAAAGTACCTCCTTGCAAATGGCTGTTCTGCCACTGCACTTTGGCTGCTGGTAGGTTTTGGGGAGAGCCCGGTAACTGGATCCGATGCGTTTGCAGGATGCGTAATCGATTTCCCGGCTCATTCCATCCCCGGAGCGGTCRCTCAGAGGAGAAGCAAAGGAAAGCTCTTTCACACCAAGGAAGGACTTGAACTGTGCAAAGAGTTCTGGGAATTTCCTTCAAAAACACAAGGGTTTTGTTATTTCASTGGGACAGTTTGAGGGTGGTTAATGTGTGTCATAAAAGGGAGGCAGAAATACCTAAACAAAGTCAGCATTGCAGGGAGAAATCTTTCACCAACATTTTATTTCTGTTGTCGTTCTCTGAATTATTTTAGGTTTGTTTTTTTTTTACTTAAGGTAGGAAAATTTTTACTTTTCCCTTCCTACACTTTTACTTTTCTCTTCACTACAGAAACACTCCCCTCAAGTGCCTGAGGAGAAACTGATCCTTGCCATTTGACTCTCCCTCTTCTGCTGGAAGCCAAACAGCTCAGGAGGCTCGCAGCAGAGCTGGAGCTATTTATCCTTCTCACAGCCCTGCTCTCAGATTTCAAGTTTATACCTTTATTACACTTCCAGATATAAAACAGGGAGTGTGAACAGAGAGAGGAAAATATCTTCCTCACAATGCTTATTAAGAGCTGTATAGAARTATTTAAAGGTTCAGATTTTATTATTCCTCTCCTTGGATTAACCTTCAATTTTTTTCASGCTGCTGAGGAGGTACAAAGTTAAATCCAAAAGTTCAGTAACAAAGTTCACAATGTGTCMAAAAAATACCAGAGTAGAGCCTACAAAGTACCCCAGAACAGGGAGGTAAGTTAGTAACTTACCCTAAAAAGGGTGTAACAAGCTGGAGCAACTCAGAGCCAGAGACCAACTCCTGGTTGAAGAGAGCGATGCAACGGAGAAAATTTTCATAAACCTCCTGACTCTTGAGCACCCTGCGCACCTACAGCAGTTTGGAAAAATGATCACATCACCTGAATACCACTTGTATTTAGAAAAAGGTTCATTATCAGTCTATTCATCTTCCAAAACCACCTATTTTTATTTCTGTCTGTCTTCCTCTAYCACTTGAAAAGTCAGGGAATGTTTTAAGTGCTGACACACAAATTATGCAGAAACCCAATCAATTAACAACCACATAAAAGGCTRAAGAGAAATCCAGAGAACGTGGGAAAAGGGCAAATACTGACCTTGTCAAAGAAGGAAAATTCTTGCAGCGTCCCATATTTCCCCACTGTCGCCWCTGACAGATCTTTGGTACCTCGCAGCTTCATTTTCTTCTGTTAAAAGAACAAGCAGTTATATTTAAAATGTTGTGATTCAAATGCCATCAAATTCCACTCTGTYGACACAGAACAGCTCCCTGCAAATGCTGAGACCCCGCATTTCCCCAGCAGGGTTCTGGCATTGCTGTGTCACGTCCTCACAGCAATCTCTGTCAAATGTCTCCCAGCTAAGAAGAAACAACAAAAAAAAAAAAAAAGAGAATCACTTGAAATTCTGCATAGATGTAATAAATTGTCCCTTTCCAGGGCTAATACTTAGTACAGAAAGTCTTGATATTTAGTATCAAACATGTTACCACACACATTTAAGCATGCATTAAAAATTCCCTTTTTCTACAGTAATTAAAATAACTCCAAATTTTGTTTCTCATACACCCACATACATGAAGGACACTATTCATGACACCTTTATCTTTAAACACAAGTAATATCAGATTATTCTAAGGTTTTATTTGCTGAAAGATACCTTTGCTGGGCCAGAAACAGGACGCAGCAGCAGCGGCCTGGATCGCTTCTTGCTGTGCTCCAGATTCTTCTCATGCTCAGTTTTCTGGACACTGTTCACTTCACATGGTCCATTTCCTGTGAACTGAAGTAAATAAATAATGATTTCAATATTCTCCTCTCCAATTAAGAATCCTAACAGGACATGGCATGTGGTTAAGTCACCTGTTCTGAGAAAATCCAAACAATGAAGAGAGGCAAAGTTCATTACTGGCTGCATAATTTTCMATGTTTTGCATATTCTACATGCAGACAGAGCATTCAACATCCTGCCCTGCTCTCAGCACGTACCAAAGACCTTTTTGCCTCTGGGAGGAACTGTCCAAACTCTGAGAGCAGATCCTCCTGTCCCCGGAACAGATTGGCCACTTCAGTGAACACTTCTTCCTCTGACATGCCCCGGAAGGGTCGGCCCTTGGTGTTCAGCTGTTCTTTCTGAAAAGATACACACAGATGGTCAGCAGAGTCAACAGATACTTCCCTCTGCCAGAAAACTCAGCCTGAGCCAAAAATCCTGATGCAACAAAACTTAAAAGGTTCTTACAGGATCACTAAATCAACTAAAGGCGAGTAAAAACTGATCAGGCTACAACCTCTTTATACCCTGAAAAATTGCACCATTTTCACACTTTTTGTCATTTCATGTGAACATCTACGAGGCAATTGTTGGATAAAGACCAGTCCTTGGGAACACTAAATCTGTTCAACAGGCAGAGATTAAATTTGACAACMACAACTCTGACAGCTCCAGCGCCAACGCCACGCCTCTGCCACGGAAGACTTTTTACCTGGTAGGTGTGAAGAATTTCTAAAAAGGATCTGTAAATCTCTGGATGGTCAAGGAAACGTGTTTTGATCTTATTCACRTAACTGATGGCATTATTGAACTCCACGGAATCGGATTCCAAGGGAATTTGGGATTTGTCTTCTTTGTAGGGAAGCTGCTGCCGGAACTCCTCGGAGCAGTCGCTGTGGTTGTGGGAGTTCTCCTGGGAGTAGTGCAAGACCAGCCCACTGCCAGGGAGGGCACTGGGAACGGGTTCTGGGGGCACCTGGGGGCACAGGACACATGAGATGAGTTGGAAAAGGATCAGGGACCAACCAGCTCAACAACAACCCGGCAGCAGAGCTGGCAATGTCTCCAGCTAAAAATTATTGTCACCATGAAGAGGGAAAAAAAAGTGTTTCAGTCAGCAATCAATTTCCCTATCCAGTTTATGAACTCCATCAATTAAAATAATCCCCAAAGCTCTCTCTGGTGTAGAAATCTCCTGACTTGTGGCTGTCACAGCATTATTGAGTTCACCTGAGAGGCTGCACCAAACAGGTCCTGCTACCACTGGGCACTGCAGAGGAACTGCCAGGTTTAAGGAGCATATTAAACATAAAGCTCCTACAAATGTTAATTCCTCTTACAGATGTTAATTCCTGAGCAACAGAGAGATCTGAGGGAGCTGAGATCTAAAAGATAGCTCCTGTCACTAACCAGAGTTAAACCACAAGTTTATCAGCAGAATTCAGTTTATGGATCTATTTCAGCTCCACAACCACACAACAACAACAAAAAACAAGCAGGGGCAACATCCATCTGTATCCCAGTAGAAGTGTTCCAGAGCAGCAGTACCTGATGGGGATTCCATGATCTTAAAGACATTTCCCAGCCTAAACAATTCAACGATTGTTCTGTGCACTTTTGCCTATTGCCTAAACAAGTTTCCTGGTTTCTCAGCGGAAAACTGGAAGTGCGATTCTTCCAGAATCCCTCCTTGAGGTTTGTCATTGCCTACAGCATGTGCTGAGAACTGATTTAACAATGTCAAAGCAAAGACAATTTCAAATACTGAAGTATTTGGTCTTGAAGTGGCGTTTTTATGCAGAATCATCATTCCTGTGTATGTCAAACTAACTGACTGAGAACAAATCAGGGGTTGGAACCAGCTGATCCTTAAGGTCCTTTTCAATCCAAACCACTCCAGGATTCTTTGAATAAACATTTAAATTTATTTTATACCCATTATCACAGGCTTTGAAAACCATCTAAAAACCTCAATAACAGATTTTGAAAACCATCTAAAAACCTCAATAACAGGCACCACACATAAATCTCCACAGCCTAAACTGTGCAGACATGTCCAGTGACACATGGAACAGTTTATTTAAAGAATAAGAGCTCTGTGACCTACCTGACTATTCAGAGGTGACTGTATACTTAATTTCCCGTTCTTTGGGATTTCTATCCTGTAGCCCAGAGGAAGAAATGCATTGAATCCTACAATGAGGTCGGGATGCTCATGGAAAAGCTGAGAAACRCGGCGGATGACTCCAGGTGTGTCGATGCTAAAATTGAGAAGGATTTGTTACTTTTTATCCAGATCAGAAACACAAGTTAAGCTCAGGAGAGTTTGGACAGCGCTGCCAGGGATGCACAGGATGGGATTGTTGGGATGTCTGGGCAGGGATAGGGGTTTGGACTCAATGATCCCATCCAGCTCAGAATATTCTGGGATTCTGTGAAAGGCTGAGGAGCTTCCCTGAGCACCCCGGGGTGCAGGACCTGGGCTTTACCTCTGGCTCTTGAACTCCTTCATGATCTCCAGGAAGCCGTTGTAGGTGGCAGGGTCGCTGCCAAAGCGGATCTTCACCTGGTCCAGGTAGGARAGCGCATCCTCCACCTGCGGGGAGGGAACACGGGTGAGCCCAGGCAGGGGGAACARGGCCCTTTATGGCCCCAAAACTGGGGCGGGAGCACCTCAAGGCACTGGAGGAGATGGGAACCGGCCCCGGGGAGCCCCACAGCACCGGGGAAGGGCAGTCGGTACCAGATGAGGGGGTCGAGGGGGGCAGGTCCCGGTGGGCACCACGAACCGGGGAGGGTGGGCTTGGCTGGGGGATGTCACGGCACGGAGCGGGACACTGTACCGGGAAGCCGGGAACAGGTCCCTGGGGAGGATGACCGCGGTACCRGAGGAGAACAGCAGGGCCGAGGATGAGAGCAACGGCCCAGGACAGGGGAAAGCAGGCCCGGGGAGCCCTCACGGTACTGGGGGAACAGGACAGGGCCCCAGGGGACCCCACGGAACCAGMGGAGGAGGGCGGGGGAGCCCCCGGCGCGAGCGGGGACAAGTCCCCGAGACACCCCACGATACCGGCGGGGAAGAGACGAGCCCCGGGGGGGGAATTCGGCACCGCGGCCGGAGCCGGGCAGGTCACGGCGGGGGCGGGCGGGGCCGTCCCGGGGGGGCGAGGAGCGGCCCCTTAGCGGGGGCGGGGAGGGTGGGGAAGAGGCGATCGCGGCCGCCGGGGCGGTCCC